TATTACATATGTGTCCTTATCCCCCCATTGCCCCCACCCCCCCACTCATGTCCTCACCCTCCTGGTATCTGTGTCCATTGGTTAGGCTTATATGCATGCATACAAGTCCTTTGGTTGATCTCTCCCCCTAACCCCCACCCTCGAGAAATCTCATCCAATATAATAAAGATGTAATATGCAAATGGTCATTATGCTGTGAAGCATAACAGCCAACCATGTAATGACCAGATCACGGATCAGCAGGAGGGTGGGGCAGCAAGCTAACAAGCTGGCAGCAGAGAGCTAAAGGAGGGGGCAGGGCAGCAAGCTATGAGGGGGAACAGGGGGGCGGGGGGAGCTACAGAAGGTGGGGCAGCAGGCTGAGAGCTACTGGAGGGAGGCAGCAAGCTACTGGTGAGCTACTGGGGCATGCGCAGGGCTGCTATTTTTTTTTTTTATAATTCTCTAAATTTGTCTGTTTTAGCAGCTTTCTATGCAATTACATTTGAAAGTAATTGGCTTCTCTTTTATTATGCATAGGTAGTTAACAAACTTCATAGTAACAGCAATGATAGTGATACCATTGGAATTAGCCTAGTTATTAATAACAGGAAAGGAGCAAAGGGAAGGCCAAAAGGTATATGTCATTTGTGCAGCTTTTCCAGGAAGCTAATGCTTTATACTTTCCAGGTTACTCCAGTCCATTCCCCGCAGATCCCTGAGGAAAGGGAGTGAACAGTGGAGGAGAATAGACGCATGCCCATTAAAGTCTGGTAAAATAGTGAATGTACTTGTGTCTCAGTTACACCTGGGAATAGGTCATTGGCCAGAGTAGGCATGGCCACTGCAAGAGTTGCAAGATTTAAGATATTTAATCCCCTAAACAAAGGAGGTCGCTCTCTTGGCTCTCTTGGCTCTCGGCTCTCTTGGACTCCACACAATGGACTAATGGACTGCAACTCGCCTGATACTGAACTGAATCCAATGCCAACATGGAACAGAAACTCCGGACACTGTTTTTGCTCTTAGCTCTCCTGCATCACCACTCGCATTTATTCCAGGACTGAATTAAGAGAAATGGGACTTTGGGAAACCCAGAGATGTAATTCCACACAAGTAAAAATTACTCATCATCCTGTGCGAGTCTCAGAAAGTTCTTTTTCTTGAGATGGTAAGGACCCCACCTCTAGCACTTACTGGGGAAAGGGATGCCCCACTTCCACCGATAACAATAGGAAGTCAAATAAATCAAGTCAAATCACAAATATGTCTCTGAAAGGTCTCCTGCCACCACAAAGGAGAACATCTAAACAATTTTTTTTTCTGCCAAAAAGTATTAAAAGGAAGACAATAACTTGCTGTTTTCTGAAATAATAGTTGACATCACCATTAAGGGAAATATGAAAAACAAGGCATTTAAAAAATTGTATAATGAGTAAAATTGCAGTATGTTTCCTTCACTCTTATCTCTATCATACATTTGAAAAATTATGTCTAGAATAGCAACACTAGTGTAATCGTTCTATACTTTCATAATAGAGGCGAAAGCTACTTGAGGATGTGGTTTGTTCCTCGTAATACTTCTAACATGCTCACATTTGACTCTACTGCAGGCCATGGTTTCTAATCTATCATTTAAAACCCAAGGTGAGGTCTGATAAGAAACACATGTTGAACTTGCAGTATGCTCAGGAGAAACAGATGTCTCACATTAAATACATACATACATATATATATATATATATATATATATATATATATATAATTTAAAAAATATTTTATTGATTTTTTTCCAGAGAGGAAAGGAGAGGGATAGAGAGTTAGAAACATCAATGAGAGAGAAACATTGATCAGTTGCCTCCTGCACACGCCCTTCTGGGGGTGTGCCCGCAACCAAGGTACATGCCTTTGACTGGAATCGAACCTGGGACTCTTGAGTCCATAGGCTGATGCTCTATCCACTGAGCCAAACCAGTTAGGGCTATATTTATTTTTATGTGGACTGAAAATAAAAGAATTTATAACCTAAATAAACCAGTGCATCTGTTGGTATTTATTGTGCTTGGAAGGGAATTGGGCAGGTGCTCTAACCATTGAACAACCAGCCAAAGCTGTGTGCTGAGTTTTAAAGAAACATGGGTGAATTTCTGTGGTCAAATACTCTTTAGAGCTACATATATCAGTATATACTATCTACTGCCCTGATAATCAATGTACATATAAAATATGTGTATGCAAGACCTAAATGTACACTCTGTGGATATAGTAGTAAGCAAATCAGATGAGCTTACTGCTATCAAGATGAGTGGATGAGTACATTGTAGCAGAAACTGTTAGTTGCCTCCGATCAGTAATCTGCTTCTCTTTTACTTTATAGCAAAAAAGAAGCAATCTTTCACCAAAAAGCTGAAAACACTAAGGTCTCACTTCTTCATATATATAAAGTTTGGGAAGAATTCTTAAATTTTTTTTCTCCTTTATAAAAATTATGACCCTGAAGAACAAGTGACCCCACCCCTTCTTCTCTGACTTTGTACACAATTGGATGAAGGCAGCAGATGCATAGGTCTTTAATCACTCTCATAATACAATGAGGATCCAAAGCTTAGAACAAGTTACTAGTAGTAAGTTGAGGATCATGACATGTAAACAAACAAATGAGAAAATATGGGGCCCTGTTGACATTGCTTAGCTTCTGGACCAGTTATAAAATTCTCATGTTTCAAGACCTCTTGTTATTTTAGTTATCTATAGTAATAAAAGTATAATATGCTAATTAGACCAGACAGCCAAACGACCTCTGGACAAAGCCATGGCTGTGAGGGCTGAGCCCCTTGCACAAATTTCATGCATTGGGCCTCTAGTTAAAATATAAAAATATTCTGTTAAACAGCTTTTTGGGAAGGGTATAAACTGAGGGCATTCTAATTTATGCAACTCTATGTTCTACTCATACACAGTTCATCTGATTTAAAATGCAAGTGCTCCTCTCAAAGTGGCATGAAATAACATGGCTTACATGTAATGTTTCATTTTCAAATCATAAAGATTTTCAACAAGTCCTCATTTTGGTCATTTCTGAAAGTTGATGAATTACTAATCCATATTCAACAACTGGCATATTACAAAGAAGTAGACTGCTGAAAATGACCAGATCTCCTCATTCTCATCTCCCAACTTTTCTCTCTATAACTCTTTTATTTGAGAAATAAAATTCAAAAGATTTAAGAGCTTCATATTTCTGTCAGCCTAATACCTAAAACTTGTCAGCTCTAGGAAGTTGAATGTGTTTTATTATATTCCTGATTTTAAGTTAAACTAATTCACAGAGAACTAGAAATTTCTTTGCAAATGAAAACATACACCTATTCTTTTTTTCTATTTCAATCATTTATTGTTGATGACTGCAAAAAGCCAAGGCCAACCTGAATGTAAAAGTTAAGATATTCTGAGCTCAAGAGTCTTGGTCTGAAAGATTAATGTTAGACGGACAAATGCCTTGTGTTTCATACTTTTGTCTTATCTATTCATTATGTACAATGAGAAGAGTGCTGAGAAGTCGGGATTGGTAAGCATTAATGAGAATTAATTAACAGTTTTCTTGGTGTACTGGGGAATGCCCCGTTACAAATGAGGTCAAAGGAATGGCAGGGAGCATATTTATAGAAGAGCAAGTGGCAAGATGTGCCTCGCATAGAATGAGTATTTAATAAATATTGGTTGACATGAAAGGAACACCTTCCCATGACTCTAAGCCAAAAGTGAAGAAGACAGATAAGCCATTTATTACTGTTTTCAGTAAAAAACAAACAAACAAACAAACAAACAAACAAACAAAACCTGCAGGATTTTCCAACTATTAAATAAAATGAGGAATTATCCCTCTTTAAACCTTACATTTGTAGATTGGGCTGATCAATCTTATGAAACCATTTAAAAAAAGCAATATTACACAGAAAGTCATTTGCTCTTATTATTTATTAAAACAAATTATTATTCCTACTACTATGAGCCAAATACCCTATTTTAAACTGCATTTGGCAATGAAAATGTATCATAAGCACCACAATGAAAAGCACCTGCCTCTTATTTCCCATGCTCAAGGGAGCCAAAAATAAATTATTTGTAGTAGTTTGCTGGTATAACAAACTACAATACACTATGTAGCTTAGAACAACACAAATGTATTCTCATAGAAATGTATTTTCATAGAGTTCTGGGAGTCAGAAGTCTAAAAGGAGTTTTATGGGTTAAACCAAGGTGTTGGCAGGGCTGGTTCTTTTCAGAGGCCAAAGGATGGAAATCCTTCTCATTGTCTTTTCTCCCCCAGCTTCTGTGGTCACATAACTTTCTTCTTATTTAGGCCTATTTGTCTCCCACTTATAAAGACTTGTGAGATTATATTTAGGACCCACCTGGGCAATTTAGGGTAATCTTCCCATCTCAAAATTATTAACAATCAATATTTTCAAAGTCGTCTTTGCCATTATTGATCACATTACCAGGTTCCAGAGTTTACCAAGTATATATCGTTGGGGTGGGACATTATTCAGTCTATCACATCCACACTTTGTGGTAGATGTCTAACAAGGTAGAGGTCTTGACTTGATAGTCTTGTAAAGAAAAGTATCAAAAACTAAAATCTATCAACAATGACTAAATATGAAGACTCTTGATAATAAAGTGATTTATGCAGGATCTCTGGAAGTTAAGGATGTAGGTTACCAATAAACCTCATCTTAGGAAAGTTAGTAAATGCTCTCCCTAATGTAAATATTCCAACAGACAATATTCTTCAATGCTGAATTAAAGTAATTTAGGGTCAATACTTTGTAATGATGCCTGCCTTTGATTAAGAAAGTAGCCAGGAAACCATATATGCATTTTTCTCCATTAATTAATAATGCAGTCAAATACAACACTAATTATTGTGCAAATCTGGAAATTTAAGCTAAATCATATTTTAAATAATTTATACACTGGGCTACCAAGTTGGAGGGGGAAAGGAGAGAGATGCTCACCTTAAATAATAAATCCTTCTTCCCATAACGAAGCTCCTTCAGCTGGGCTTGAATTTTTTTTGACTGTAAGAGCAGAAACATGAATTAGTGCCTTAATTTCATTTATATGTTTCTACTTGATGGTTAGCATTTCTTCAAACTTTACAAAATGAATTTTTCAGCCAAGCAAAAGAGTCCAAAGATTTTGGAAATGAAACAGGAAAGCTTAGCCTTCACTTTGGTAGTTGGTCATCCAGCTGTTCGAGGCAGGAAGAGAAAACCAAAGTCTGCTTCGAGGAAACATACTAACAGGTAATCCTTAAAGAAAGTGTCTCACTGTTCCCCCTCCCTCCAAAGAATTCCAGTCACCCAGGCACGCCCAACACTCTAATTTTAGATGCTAAGTATATCTCTTCAATTGCATGCCTCAGTTTTGACTGCTTATTTCAATTATTTATTAAGGTAAGATTAAATATGGATAAGTTTAAATTGACCACCAGATTTGAATTTGACATATGTCCGAGGAGAAGACAGCAAGCTAATGTGACAGGAAGTGAAGGGCATTTGCCCTTTAGAAGAATGTCATTTTAAGGGGAGCATCACAAATGTAGAAGTGCTTATAACAGAAATCTCTCTCAGAAGGTATATGTTTGGCTAACACATTGAAATATACTCTAGCAATAAACCACAGATAATGAATATGATTCCTGTTTTTCCAGGGCAGACCCAATTTCAAACATTCTACCTTAAGAACCTCAGTCATTTTTCTCTCTACATCTAAGATTATTGGTGTTGATTCTTCAGTAGAAGAAATAGAACACAAACAAAAAGATTATAATAGTCACATAAAAAAGATAATTGAAAAAATAGTTGAGTGGGAATATAAAACAGTACAGTCACTTTGGGAAACACTTTTGGCAGCTTCCAATAAAGTTAAACATACACAAATTGCATTATAAAGCAATTATTTATAGGCATTTACCCAAAAGAATATATAATATGTACATAAATGTTTATAGTATATTTTTTCATAATAGTCAAATGCTGGAAAATACTACATGTGATTAAACTGATTAACAGTAAATTATGGTACCTCCATGAAATGCAATATTAGAATACTGATTTTAAGAATGAATTAAGGGCTGAAACATGTAGCAATGTAGATGGATTTCAAATGCATTGTATGTAGTATATGAAAGAATCTAGTCATCAGAAGCTATGTTTTATATAATACATTTATATGATATCCTACAAAAATACAAAAAAAAGATAGGGAACCCAATCATGTTAGTAGTTGCCATAGGTTGAGGATTGGTACTAGAGATTATAACATAGCAAAAGGGAACTTTGGGAGTAATGAAAATGTTCTATTTCTCAAATATATATAACGATCCAACCCATTAAAACTGTATACTTAAATGGAATAAACTCTATGTAAATTATATCTTAATGAAATTCAATTTTAAAAGTAGCTGGCCACAGTACATAATAAAAACAATATTCTAATGGTACTATTTTATCCCAGTAAATTCTGCTGATATAACGTCCCCCTTAATAAAGTCTGCTAATATTTGAAATGCTATAATTTTCCAAGCATACATTAAATGCATGAGTCTTCCACTGAACCAACTGCAAGTGTACTGTGATTGTTTCCTATTATATTCAGAACATTTCTAACCACTCAGGGTAGTAGAGTTTGCAAAATGGAAGACTGTGTTATAATGGTGCTATAATTTCTAAATTTTTATCCAATGCTGGAAGTACCACCAATTAGAGTATAAAATTGAAAGTGCTGTAAATGCAAGGTTCTAATATTAGAAACACAGTTTTCCATAGACATCCTTATTGTGAGCCATCTGCATTTTGTGATCTATTAAATCAGAAAGCTGATAAGAGAGAACAAAACGAAAACAAAATGAAATGGAAAGAAATAAGAAAGGAAGGAAGAAGAGAAGAAGAGGGGAGAGGGAGAGGGAGCGGGAGAGGGAGAGTTAGAGGGAGAGAGGGAAAGAATATGAGGGCCTGAGGGACAGGAAGCAAAGGAGGAAGAGAGGAAGAGTCTGACTTTAACAATTCAGAATTATGTAATTAAACTCTATACTCAGAAGCAGCAAGGATTTGTGCTTTCTTAAAACCTAGTAAGGTTCCAGTTCCACAAAAAGGCATCCTCTTTTTCTTGATATGATTAGTGAATGCAAAATGTATGGCATAATGCATTAGAAGACAAAGAACCATCTTGTGCATACCTGGTTGGTACTAGCCCTTAAGAATGAAACTCACACCTGAGTCCTTACCCCCTTGAATTTATGCTTCTACTTCAGGACTCTACTAGTACATTTACTACAACTCTGCTGTTTCTCTTACAAAGATTCCTAAGTGACCCAAAATAATTATATTTCAGACACAGCATCTCTCTTTTGTTATATGAAATTTACCTCCAAGACATTTCCCGGTTTTCATGACTATCCTTAATTTTGTGCTATTGATATTAGTAAAGGACTAATTCTGTTATCTTTCCCAACTACGCATGTACGATCAATTAGCATTTTCTCTGTGCTGTTGCAATCTGCTGTCCAGGACTCATTTATAGTCAGGACAGTCTCTTAGGAAAACACACTTTGATTTTGTTGTTGTTAATGTTCACCCGAAGATATTTTTAAAGCGAGGGAGAGAGACACAAGAGAGAGAAACATTGATGTGAGACACATCAATTGGTTGCCTCCTGCACGTGCCCCTACTAGGGCTGGGAATTGAGCCTGCAAGTCAGGTACATGCCCTTGACCAGAATTGAACCTGGGACCCTTCAGTCCAAGGGCTGATGCTCTCCTCTGAGCCAAACAAGCTACGGTGCTTTCATTTTTTAATCCAAACTAATGTTGACCAATATCAGTGGGGAATGAGAGATTAGCACTCCATTTGATGTGCACTTTTTTTTTTTTTACCAACTTCACTTCTATTGTACTCTATATTTTAAGTGTTAGAAAGGACTCAGTTTAACCATTTTGGCAATTCATTTCTTATTGCATACTTATACTGAATGCTCAGAATATAATTTAAAATTTTCTTCATAACTTGGATTCATTATTAAAATATCAATTTTGTATTATGCAGTAATTCATTCAGGAACTATAATAAAAGCCTACATGTCTTTTTCTATATTAAATGAACATGAACAGCTAGATTTCCTGAGCCTAGTGATGGTTATTCAAAAATATATTTTTAGAATTTTTCATTACAGTCACTTATCACTTCTCTGCATCTGCCTATTCCAGTCTTCTTCTAATTTTCAGTAGTTAAAAAGCGAAATTCTATCTAGGCATCTGATGGAAAATAAGAATAAATACAATTTGAATGAGTGCATCTTTATTTTGTAATGCACATTAATATGAAACCCAGTTGACACTAACTGTTTTCTTTTACCTTGTTGGCATCATTTTGGAAAATTAGAATTTTCAGAGTTGTACTCTTCAGACAGTTCAGATATTACTATATTGGGCATTTTAGTAATTTTCTTTTAACTATGTTAATTATCTTAAATGTAATTCTAAATGTTGGTGCCTGTGAGTCATGACGTTTTCACAAGTCCACAGCAAAATTTAAGTTTGTGATAATGGTGATAATTATGATGATTATAGTTATAATAAAAAGAAGATAAAAAAGGTGAGAAAGATAGAAGACATTGTTCATGGTAGAACATTTTAGCTAGGCTTATTTTTTCCCTTCTAGAGACTATTGTTTAGTCTGAGATCTTTCTTTCCAACAATTTATGTTCAAATATCATTTCTTTCATAAAGTAATAGTGATGATGATAGGATGGTACATGATACTTGCAGCAGGAGCTTCCATTATTTTTGATATTCTTCTGTGGAAAATTAAAATATTAGCAATCTATTGATTATCAATAGGACTTGGACATTTTATTCATCTATGAATACTAAACATTTAGGGTCACTGATCTAGAAAACATTAATAAAAGTCATTACTCTTTTGTTTCGTTGGTGGCAATAATGGAAGAAATAATAAAAATTTCCATTTATATTGAAGACAAATTATTGTGACAAAATATAGACCTCTCTTATAATCCAAACTTAAATTTTAAATTGGATCCATAAAGAAAGAGATAGGGTAAATGTATAAGTCATAATGAATATATTCAATTTATTTTAACATTGTGCAATATTAATGTATAAAATATCTAATAAATCATAAATAAAAATTCAGAAATAATATATTCTCTAAGTAATAACATATTCAAAATAAATTAAACATTTTGAACCAAGGGGCTAAAACATACAGGTAGACCCAGGCTATTATTGATTGTTTCTAAAGACTATGGGCACCTTCTCCTAAGAACCATCTCTCTTTCATTGTATGAGTATTATAGGGACCATAGGAACATGCCAGCCATCTCAAAATATAGCTTCCATCCACGTATTCCTTATTCAAAACTGTTCTATTTGCTTACCATCCAGAAGTATTATTAAGAAATTGTATAGTAAATAGGTAATATTTTTAAAAATTTAGAAAATATAAACAATATAATAGTTGATCTCTATCCAAATATAAAAATACAATGAAAGAAATACTACAATCCATTCAATTTGATTTTTGCCTTATGGGGTATCAACCTGTCATTTCCATGTATTGAAAATTTATATTCATTTTATATACAATATTACTGTAAAGACATAAACTGGATTATTAAATTGCATGTTAGACTTTAACTTTAGTGTTTATAATAAGGACTTTTACATGTCCATCAAGAAGTGTTTTCACCTTATTTAATAAAATAAATCCCAAATTCTGGATGGACACATGACTACCAATCTAATGTCACTTTCTTTTTTCTTTTTTTCCCCCACTGATTTTTAGAGAGAGTGGAGAGGGAGAGACACGGAGAGAAAAACATCAATGTGAGAGAAACACATTGATTGGTTACCTCCCTCATAGGGATGGAGCCTGCAACCCTCACAAAGATCAAGCTGTCAACTGAAGTATATGCCCTTGAACCCAGGACCCTTCAGTCCCCTGGCCAATGCTCTATCCACTGAGCCAAACTGATTAGGGCCCTAATAACACTTCCCATTTTCTTTTCAAATTGGCTAGGCACGTGACCTAGTTTCGGCAAATAGGGTACAATGAGATACATGCCACTACTTCCTAGTTGGACTCCTAAAAGCAGTGCCTGTGAGTCACTAGGCAAACTTACCTGTCTGCTCTACTAGAAGGTAATAATAACAGGAAGAGGTTTTTGTGAACAAAAACTGGCTGCAATATTTAGGAAATGAAAGAGGTATAGTGACAGCTCTCTGCCTTACGTCTAGACTGTTTTGGACAAAGGGGTCAACTTTTAACTTGTGTAAGCCATTGTTCTACTCAAACTGCCTTTCCTCCCACTCCCTTCACAGGCATGGGATCTGCATCATGTTATGAAGACTCTGATGCAAGTTCCTTATTATTCACAGATGTTTCCATTAATAAGTCCTTGCACAACTCATCCCATCTCTGTGTGTGATTCTTGGGGAAACCAACTAACCCAGTGTCTCCTGTCTCCTGTCCTTGAGGTGTAAATAATCCGTTTCTATTGATACCATCTCTACTATCTCCTTAATACCACTAAGAATTATTACTATACCCTACATATTCTACATTAAATCAGGGATCATAAAATATAAATAGATATGGGAGATGAGCAGTTAAAGAAATTGATTTTAGTTAAACCTGGATTAAGCAGAATAACTGTTTGCCCCTAAGAAATGCATGAGTCTTTTTTGGTTTTCTCTGGCTATGCAATGTTAAAACATTCAACATATTTCTAAAAGTTTTATTTACTTATTCCAATATTTGCATTTGTGTTAGAAGCGGGAAAAGGTCAAGAGATGTTTAAGTTAAAAAAAAAAATGTCTAGCACTAATATTGTTTCTATCCAGTTGACACTAGAAGAGAAAATTTACTCACCTCTTCTGCACGGATGCCACAGAGCTTATTTCCTGACAAGAGTTTGTTTTTCAAGCTTTTATTCTGAGGAAAGAAATATAGTTTTATTGTTAAGAAGTGATCAAATATTAAGAATCCCTTTAAATATGCGAGCAGCATTGCATTTCTCTATGTTTTGTTCACAAAAAAGCCCTTAATGATATGAAATATAATAGATTTAGATAAATTGCGTAGAATCTGCAGTGTAAAAGATTGTTACTTCTATTCAATTAAAAAAAGATTGTTACTTCTATTCAATTAAAATGTGGAAATATTACCATTAATCATTTAAAAAGATGGAACTTTATTTGGCCTTAGATTTAAAATCCGTTTTACATTTTATAACATAATTTTATAATTTTAGTTTCAAATCTGCAATTAATGCTAATTTCCAAAAGCACCCATCTAAACAGCAAGCATTTATTTACGCTATCATGTGGATGCTAGTCACCTTGGACCCTACTATAAAACAGCCACCGATCCATCAGGGTCTGCATTCCTTTTAAAGAAGCAGTTTTAGAGTCCTCTTCTATTCCTGACACCTGCATTGCTCTCAAAGGACATCTGGATGCTCAGAAGCTATTTTGTCTTCCAGGCCTCATAGGCATGCTCTCATTGCTGTGTACAGATACAGACAGATCAGTTAACCTTTGGATGTCTCATAATTCACCTAGATTCTTAGATAAATGTTTGTTACTTCTGACATGAAAGCTACATGTGTCTAAACCCTTAGAGCCATTCAATAATTTCTGTCTCATTACATTCAGGCTTTTAGTCTTTGCCCCAGTAACTGAGTACCCCAGACTCCTTTTACAGAGGTGGCAAAAGTAGAGCAAAAACTTTGCAAAAACTCACAGCATTTTGACTTTGTAATGTCTCTCTGGGAGCAAACACTGCAATGGTAAGGTACATCTCCTGCATAATGACTCTGAGAGAGTCAATTTGATGAGCACCATGAGCAAATGGACAAAAATTTATGCAGAGTGAATGAGTAACTGAATAAATGGATACATTAAATTTAAGAGTTCTTCATTCACAATTCTCACCTGATTTTGAACATTTCCTATTCTATTTTCCTGCCATACAAAGAGGAGGTACACCATTTCAGAATAACCATTTATCTATTTTTTCTCTTTAGCTATGAGTTGAAATTCTAAAATACCCATTGAGAATTTCAATACCATAAAATGTTTTACACATATGAGGAGGTACCTTGATCCACACAATAATGCCTTTTTGCAAATATTTGTATGCATCACTGAGCACAAGATTAGGGCTCTTAAAGAGACTTTAATAATATACATTATTTCTGTATTTAAAAGCTTGTAATTTACAATAATGAGATACATACTGATGTGGTAAGTCTGCAGTGTTGCTCAGATTGCAGGCTAAAAAATTCCCTCGTTTTCTTTCTGTTCACGTCTATAATGTTTTGATATATGCAGTCTTAATTATTTGTAATGCAATGGTCTATTTTCTCTTTTTTACTTATTATATTATTTTGTACATAGAGCTATATCACTAGAGATTTTATATTCACTTATATATTTTATCTCTTTAGTGCTATATTGTTTTAATGAGAAGACTGGTGAAATTGAAATAAAGCCTATAGTTTATTTAATATTATTGTATTAATGTTAATTTGTTGGTTCAATAATTGTTTTATCATTCTTTCTGATGTTACATTAGAGGTTTTGGATAAAGGTACATGAGAACATTCTGTATTAATTTGCCCTGTTATTTTCTATGTAAAAATTATTGCAAAATAAAAAGTTAAGATATATACAAAAGAACATTTAAATAAAAATAAATAAGCCGAAACCGGTTTGGCTCAGCGGATAGAGCGTCGGCCTGTGGACTGAAAGGTCCCAGGTTCGATTCCGGTCAAGGGCATGTACCTTGGTTGCGGGCACATCCCCAGTGGGGAGTATGCAGGAGGCAGCTGGTCGATGTTTCTCTCTCATCGATGTTTCTAACTCTCTATCTCTCTCCTTTCCTCTCTGTAAAAACTCAATAAAATATACTAAAAAAAAATAAATAAATAAGAAAAAAGTGAATGAAGCACGTTTGAAATGAAGATGCATACAAACACATAACATCCACACATGACTAACTTTATTAAAAATGATAATAAGTTAATCTATTTAAAATTGGTAAATACAGTCTATACTACTTAAAATTTGCATCTTCACTTAAAATTTTTCTTGTTTTTCTTGCCTTTTGTTCATTATGTTCAATTCTAAGGCTACAGTGAAAGCAGTGAATAAAACATTATTTCACTGGAAATGTTTACAATAGTCTCGGACATCGCATTTGGATCGGCACTGGGAAGGCTGCCACTCCTCCACGTGGATGCCATCCAAAAGTAAGCTGTGATTATACTGTGTGTCCGTAGTCTGCTCTGGCGGTTGGTAATTCTGGGCAACGGTATAAAGCAATATGTTTCCATTAAGCTAAATGTCATTTCTAGAGCTTAAGAATTACAGTATTTCACTATTTTGAAACATAGCCAGAATTGGGGATAATTAATTATAATCACCCACAATGGGGCCAATTGTGGGACACAAGGGAGCCTTGCCAAGGCCCATACTGAGATTACTCTTAGATGGCATGTGCTTCAGCATGGATGGCACACAGCGCTGATGAGGGAATACTGGTTCCCAGACGATGCATTGATTTAACCTTTCCACTCATGATTAGTGACTACTTTCTTAATCTCCCCTCCCCCTCAAAAAAGGCTTGATAGCATTTAGGTATTAAACACAGAGTTTTTACAATTTGGTAATCATACTTCTGTCATTACTTCTGCCTTCTAAGTGAAGGATCTCATCCATATCAAACTTAATGATATTTTTATAAGATCTAAAGAAACAACTTGCACAGGTAATTATACCCAAAATTCCAGAATACAATTATGAATATGCCTCACTTGAGAGGATATAAATAAAGGTAGATTAAAAGAGTCATCAAATGTTTAAATGTCTGTTCTTTCTTCATGTCATGCTTTCATCATCATTTCTTCTAATAACCGCACCCTGATTTTTCTTATGAGAAATATTTTCCATGCTAATTTCATGTGGCCATGTGACACAAACTCTACCCACTGCATCAAGGGAACAGAATAAGACACAAGAATCAGAGTCTTGGTCCAGATTTGATAAAGTAACAAGGACATCCCTGATGAGACTGAAACATAAATATTTTATATTCGAGAATTAGGGAGAAAAGGTTGCTGAGGGTAACCACTAAATCTGAACTTATCTGAGAATAGACCTAACATAGACCAATAACACCTGGGTACATATAAATACTGAATTCAAGTGATGTTGTTGGTCCCTCTACTCCTCTTCACACAGCCTTGCATGAAGCTAGTAGACCAGGTTTTTCAGTTACATTCTTCTAGCACCAGCCCTTCTACTCTGTTGATGCCATACTTAAATCTTTTTGTCCACCCTATAATCACATAATTCTGCCACTTCCTTAAGATTCAGAGTAGTGCCCAGGCTGGTGTAGCTCAGTGGTTGAGCGTCAACCTATGAACCAATAGGTCATTGTTTGATTCCCGGTCAGGGCACATGCCTGGTTTTGACCTCGATCCTCAGTAGGGAGTGTGCAGGAGGCAGCTGATGATCAGAGATTCTTATCAATGATGTTTCTCTCTCTCTCTCTCTCACTTCCCCTCACTTTTCAGAGTAGCAAAGGATCTCCAAGTAACTAAGCTTATATCAAACACTAATGTCATAGCTTATCAGGATGTGGGCAGAGAACATATCCAAGTATTTTGCCTTGTCTAAAAAGAAAAGAGATCTTGCTTAGCACCAACATAGGTATTTTCCTCCTAATTGGATGTTGTACAAATTTGGGGTAGGTTAAAACAAATGCTCCTACCAGCTTCTTGGGAACCCAGTTTGTATATGTCTCTGTCCTGCCTAAAAATGTCATTTATTATTCCCCAATGTCGATATGATAAAACTCAAACCTGATAGTAACAGAAAATCTTTCTTAATAAATAATACATCGGTTTAATCTAGTTTGATTTTTGCCTGTGAAATTAAAACATCCTGATATATTTTACATGGTGTCTCAATCCCAACATTCTGGGCTACCCAACAGAAAGAGATATAAGCCTAGTATATCTCTATAATCTTGCTATATGGAAATGTAAAAACTCTGAAATTACTGTGAGTCTTGATTTTACAAAGTGCTCTAAAGTAAAATTAGGTGTTAATTGGGTTTTTTGTTTGCAAATAATAGAAACCAATAATGGATAAAACAAGCTAAACATGAATTTATATTATGAGGATTTTATGCAGAATGAAGTGAAAGCCTGAGGAATGAGGCTCAGAAAATACACAGGAACCAAGTAGGAGGGGGTATCTATAATTATACGACAGGAATAGAGTTACTGTGACAACTAAATGAGAGATTGTAAATCCCTGTACTTAATTACAAGGTGGAATTATGAGGTCTCAATTTTCATGTTGTAAGTCAGAATCTGGGATCACTTAGGATCGTCAAATATAATAAAAGTACGTAAATGTGTTTATCACGTTATTTTCTGGATTTAAATAAGATATACCAATGCTGTTATGCAGCTGAAAACTGTTAATGTCTTTAAAATGCAATTAAATGTGACCCTAAAGTAAAAATTGTCAAGAAACTACAGAAAATCAGAAATGTGTATGTAAATATTTTTTATTTATTCTAAGCCACATAAAAGAAAAAAAAGTAGAATTTTAAAATAGAGAAAGATGAATTGTCTACAGAATAGTTTTGAATTGATAATGGAGGAAAAAAGCCAAATGGAATGAACCATATGGAATTACTTCCCTTTCAACAAAAACAAGTTCAAAATTATAGCTTCTAGAATAAGGAAGTAAAGTATATACAGATTTTTTTTTATCTGTAAATACCTAAGTGCTTTAATATAGGTACATTGGTGGAAATATCAACCATGGGAAAATTTGCTTTAGTTTCAAACATTAAGTATATGTGCCTATTTTGTAGGTATATGCAAATATATATATAATTTCTACTCAGTGTCT